AATTGGGACACAGCTTAATTTAACTAATAGAAGAGGGGAAGAGGAAAGAAATCAAAACACAGAACATATATTAATAATATTTTGTCATGTACTATATGTGAAATGCAATTTATTCAGGATTCAATTATGAGAAAAGGTCAAAAGACGAGATTGAAGCTGATATCCATAACATTGTGCGTGCTGTCACAACGTGCAAAGCAAAACTTGCAATCAGATTAGATACTGCTGAATTTGATGCATGAAAATACAATTAACATGTAAACGTAACGGCTCAGTCGTTAGCAATGTGACAGTTATCGGACGCAACAGCCAACTAGAAGTTCTACACGTGCCAAAACAGGCGCCAACATTGTGGCCTATGGTAGTAAAGTAAAAAGCACTTAGATGAGGAGAACACATAAAAACATCACGAAAAATATCACAGATACCAGCTTTAACCCCTACAGTGTCTTTTGACATATGATTCCATATTTTTCCTAATGCAACCCACATGGTTCTTCCATGTAGGGAAGAATACAACCGGAGAGGAATTCCATAAGATGGCACATGTCTGACTATTCTATGCTCAAGTTAAAACTAATGGAGACCAGTGGTTGCTACACATCAGGAAAACTATTTTATAAACATATGGCTTGCTTTAGACAATAATCGATTTATGTTTGCGTGATTTGTGATTGGTTACAGATGCCATATATGATCTCTGTTTTTTGCTCTGCTGGGTTTTTTTGCTCTTTACCAATTGTGATTTAAAACATTGTTCACTGAATTTGTGAAAAACACAAGTTCTTTGAAACCACAAGCATAAAGGTGGTGTTTTAACAGTGTGTAAAAACTATTTAATGAAAACTCTTTGACTCCTCGAAAGGTTTCCTTAACAGTGTCCCATATATTCTAACTAAAACATAGCCATATATTTAATAAAATAACTTGTTATTATATTGTTGAGAACCATTCATTGTTAATATTTTTTCAAAACATTGTTTAGCTTTTACTAGTAATTTTAAAGTGACACTGACTTACTTTTGGGTTTGTACTGTAAAAACAAAATACCAGAGTCTGCTCTGTGGGCAGCTGAGTAGAGCCACAGAAACTCCTGTTTTTATTTATTTCCACCAAACCAGAGTTTGTGATTGTGGGAATAGTGGAAAGGATAACAAAGACGGTTTCTGTCCACTTTGGATGAAGTTATGATGACATGGCATTTTTGTCTATGGAGTGTGAGAACGATATTACGGCTGTCTCTATAGGAATTCTTTCCATAATGTTGTCTGACACTTAGAATAACAATGTCTTTAGGGTACACTTTATATTGCAAAATGATTTTATTTATATATTTATTTTAGAACAGTAGTTTAACTCTTATTAGATGGTTGTAATATTTATGATTGCAGTTTTCCCCTGACCAGCACAAAACATTTTGGTAGGAAAAAAAGCCTCTATAAAGAGTTACAATACAGCACTGCACCAGCAGTGTCTGATTTATTACGAAAAACACTGCTTAATTCCATGCATTGCAGCTGCATTGAACTGCGTCTCTTTGATAAGTTGCACTTTGACCTTTGTCATTCTCTGTGGCAGGGAGGCAGTGCTCAAACTCTTTTCCAGTGGTTTAAACAGTTAATGACTGTATTGAACATTGGAATGTTGTTTATAAAATGTGGTTTATTGAACTTGCATTTATCTTTTTTATTAGTATTTTAACTAGTATACTTATTTTGAATTGAATTGAATTGAATTGAATTGAATTATGCATGACTGATATTATATAACATAAAATTAAAGTACTTCAAAATGTGGGCATATTACTAATCATTAGCTATGGGATTTTTTAGCACCAATATCATATTGTATGAATTAGACTATGGTCTCCAAGAAAAACTATGGAACCTGTTTACTTGCTTATTAAATATCAAACCGTTTACAGTATTATACAGCTATTTAAGAACCCTTTTTAATGGCCATCTTATGAAATGAATTGAAAGTAAAGGAGAGCACAACAGATTTACAACAGAGAACAGAATCACTTGATAACTTCTCCAGACAAACCAGACAGACAACAGCCACACTGACAAAGTAAAGACAGTGTGGGGTAAGATAGACGACATTCGATGATGCTGCAATCGCAAAAATGGTTTCCAACTTAAAACACAAAAACAGACAAATCAACCAAGTTAGACTAAATACGGGGGCATGGAGTCAAGGACCAATCAAAAAGCATGCAAAGAAATGATCAGAGGTCACCCTGAAGAGAATGACTTGAAGAGTTTGCTAAATCAATGATTGCTTAAGAGAGAAATGAAAGTGAGAAATACGAGAATTTGTGGCAAAAGAAATCTTTTCATGCCATCTACACCGAAATGTGTTCAAATGGAGCACAGAATTAGCGGGCAGTATATGAAGGAAAGGGATTGGAAGACTGATAAACTGAAGAATTAGGAGAGTGCAGCGGTTTTATATACAATTGCAGTTACATTTGGAGCTCTCCCCCTTCAGAACATAAAATTCGATGGCAAGAAAATATTTTTTTTGCCTTATTTGCTGTAAAAACAGAAATAGGGATGTTTTCATTAAAAGCCACATGTTACAAAGCCGCATGGTACCCCAGAACATATGTGGAAACAATGATCACCCACCAAAACGTCATGCCACTCATGATGAGGCCAAAATACAAGAATGTGTTTTTGGATAATTGGCGAATAGACGGGAATGATATCTCGATAAAAGAAACATGTAGAAAACACAAAAATAAAGAAGAAATAGCATTGACTCCCAAAATGATACAACAAAGGAAATTTCAAATCAAAGCATGCCGCTGTCAACGTCAAAGTGATGTTAGGGTTAGAATGTCGTGAATTTCTGTGTAAACACATGATTGGATGACTGGGGCCCTGTCTTTGTCTTTCTTCACAAATCCCCATGAATCTCAGGCTACACAGCACAGCTTTAAACCCATTTATGCCACAACCTTTCACATACTCTTTAAAAAAATTTGGGAATGACCTTCTAGAGGGAGAAACCTACTGGCGGTCAGCAGCATATTTTCTCGTGAAAGATCATAGAATAGCTCAATGTCATTTTAGAATAAGAATATAGAATAAATATTCTTGAGCTTTAAGTCTGGTTGCATGGTGAGTAGGGCCTTAATAGAATAAAATATAATGGTTTCCTGTGTCTGTAGTATAATGTATTAGAGGCAAGTATGTCTGTCTGTGTCCCTTACTGTTTTTATATAATATTCTGTACTGTTTTATATCATCTACGTCTGAGAGAGAGAGAGAGAGTTTGTGGATTTACTGTAGCAGGAAGGTTTTTACAGGTAATATATAGTTTGTCTTTATCCTACAGAAGCCCTTAGAGGCAAGTGAAAAAATCCTGGGTATCTATTCTAAGTCAGATCCAAACAGTTTTCTCTCATGTATGTCAAGAACAAATTGTGAAAATGAGAAATTTCCATCTCTGAAAATCAGTGGGGGAAAAAAGTTTGCCAGGTGAAAACAAATTTTTTTGTTGTTGTAATACTCAGCCACAAGAGTCTGAAGTGCACCACTACCCCATTTTATTAACAGGACTAAAATATTCATGTTTTCTTCAAGGCAAGTTTTGATTTCTGTTAGTGGCAATTAAAATACACGTTACATAACTTGCTAACACAATATATGTACCTTGGGTTTAGAGTGCAAGAAAATGAATAAATCCTATATAGAACATGGGGTGCACTTCAGCCTCTTGTGAGTATTACAACAATTACCTGACAAAAAAATTCACCTGCCACTTTCCACTTGTTTTCACAGAAAACACTAAGAAAATTCGAATGGGAGAACGTTTTTTTCACCTGTTCTTAAGTTATACACACAGGAGAGAAAACAATTTAGATCAGATTGGAAAATCGATTGACAGAATTTTTTTTTCTCACTTTCCTCTCAGGGCCTCCGTATTATCCCCAATTTGAATTACTAAAGCTGACATGGCATTTCCACCCAATAGCAGCAAAGGTGTTGGATTTGCTGTTTAGGTGGATATTATGGATTAAATTACTTATGAGATATATCAAATAAGCATTATTTTGAATTCTGATGTGTATTTTTGAATGGGCTATAGAAATTTGAACATGTTAAAACTAAAAGCCCTTTAGCAAAAGGATCCAGTTGTGTGACATGCTTGCTGTTAAAAATGACCATCACTAAAATATGGAAATTCCCAAATTCTTTCAAACTGATTCTCTCAGTTATCACAATGCTTAAACATTTTAGAATTTTTAATATTTAAATACAAAAAAGACAGAATAACAAGTACACCTAAAAGCAAAAGTATGACCCAAACAAAAAAAGAAAAACTTGTACACAGAAATTCAATGATATCTGTTCTCTATTACATGTACCAATGCAAGCTGATAAATATGGAAAAACACAAATGAAAACCAAAAGTAAAATATGTCCAGACAGCACGCTACATTTTAGCAGAAAACGAAGTGTGAAAACAAAGGCTGTCAAAATGTATTGTAAAGTATAAATGAAAATCAGTAGAGCAGTGAATGGCAGGAGCAGTGGACTTAAACACAGTGTGAAACATTTTGCAGCATCAGTGCAGAGAACATGGTCCAGCATCATACAAATTTTGCACGTTTGTGATGATGTACTAACCCTTGTTATTCCTCTCCACAGACAAAATTTGTATGTATATTAGTGACCATGTTAACCACTTTGGACGACCCCATGTGCAAGTGTAGCTCATGATATTAATGACCTTCTGTTGTCAACTAAATGAACTTTCTGTGTGACTGATGTACCAAATGTTTTCAATTTAAATTTGAGCTTTGTATCTAATAATCCAGCTTTATAGATAATGTGCAGTGCAGCTCGCTATATGAGTACTGTTACTACATTGGCTGCTTTATGAAGTTACACTTTGTCTAACCATGGGGGTGTGATGCTTTGAGGACACGTCGATCCTCAGGTGCAGATGAGTGGAAGCACAAAGAAAGCAAGCAAATGCAAACTAACCTAGCCCACCTGCATGGCTAGTTTCACACTCCTCCAGGTCCTCGTCGTCACTCGAACACTCTGCAGATGACACAATTTCATCTCCCGTGTGCTTCGGAGGCAGAACATTGGTCATCAGAGGTCACAGCAAAGATATCCCAAACACAGAGAGCCACCAGCAAAAACAAAGAAGACACACAAAGACAAGGGGAATATAGAAACAAGTTAGAAAGGGAGCAAAAGTTCATTTTTGACCTTGGAAACAGTAGGTTGAGAAAAAGATCTTGACTCAAGGTTCACTTGTTGTTGTTTTTGTCAGAGCTTTCCACTCAATCTGCCTCATTTGATGCAAGTTTGCTCAGTTGTCATGGAGATGGATCAGTTGTGTAGTATGTAAGTAATGTCTCATTTCAGTCTTGAACTGGTGGATGTTGCATTTTTTTGACCATTTGCATTTAGGGATATGAAACTTGTATGTATCACACTATGAAATACATGTGTGATACTCAACTTAAGGCCCATATCTGCCTGAACATTTTCTAATGAACTGTTGTTTGTTTGTTTATGGCAATTAGAATTTGGTTGTTACTTGGGAAGATGCATCTGTACAATGCCATCTCTTGGCAAAGTGAGGACAGCAAACGTCCAAATTATGTCTATGAAAACAGGCAATTTAATGAAAAATGGCCTTTTTGCCATCTCATACCAATCCTAAACCACTGATTGCCTAATGACAATAGCTGTATGCAAGGTTGCCAATATCAGGCACCATCAACATTCAAAACATGCTAGCTTCAGTGCAGTGTTCCTGCCTGGTAGCACTGGCAGAAAAGATTATGACTTTGAAGGCTTATTTTTAATCAATCGATCCTGATTTTTATTCAATTTAAATGATAAAATATTATGTTTGTTTATTAACTGGCCCCTGTCATTTTGTAAAAGTGGCCCCCTGATTATATTGTCATTGCAGTTATTGGAAACAAAATGTTTCATTTGTGATACCAACTAAATATTTTTGACCCAATTCTCATAAAACATTGATTTATTTTCTCTTTATTTATTTTTTATGATTCCAATATATATATAATATTATAATATTTGTGGGGAGAAAATATAAGTTTGTAAGAAGTCAACATAAGCCATGTGTGGCAGGGTTCAAATGCAATTTCTGAGACTGTGAAGGGATTGGCATGTTCAAGATAAAATGGGGGGAGGCTGTTTTTTTCAAACAAATTGAAGTATCTGACCTTTGAGTGATAATTCCGTCATGAGCCACATATGGAATACCTTCAGTTTCAGTTGTTTGAACTGTTCATTCAGTCTCTTGGTCTTCGGGTCTTTGAAGTTTCACTGACGATTCACTGAAGTTTCAGCTGTCACAGGTGACATCATGTTGATGTCATACACCACTCTGGTCTTCCTCTCAGGGGGGGTCCTGTCTTTAGGGTGTACCAGCAGAGATCTTAAAGTGTTGAATGGTTTGTGGTAAGTGCTGACTCCTTGTGGCTTGAAGACTCTGGTTGGATGTTCTGACACAGCAAAGTTCCACCTTAATTTCGCAGTGTCCAATCCTTAAATTGTGTTTCTCACCCTTCACTTCTTGTACGCATTTTTGCCTGTGTGAGTGGGCTTCCTTTACACTGTGGTCTGTATGCTCCCATCAGCAACTCACATAAACACAGGTGTCTGAGAAAGGGTTAGTGGTTGAAAGCTAATAATTGGACCTTGAGTTAAGATTTTTTTGGTTAACAAACCTGACAAGTAAAATGTAATGCATAACCAATTTCCAACTGGCTTGGAAAGTTTTTATTGTTAAACAGTAGAAATAAAACCAGCTCAAATGAGACTCCGGTACAGTGAGAGCAATCAGTAAACCGTATTAGACTGATATCTGGACGTTCCCTGTGTGTCACTCTATAGCCAATGGATAAACATAATAAAATAACCAAATTGGAAGACTTTATGGGATCACTCATCCAGGGCAAAATGTCCATTTTCACTTAATTTGGTATACAGTTAATGGGGAGACACCATCGACATAAATTAAAGGATAGGTTCACATTTTTTGTTGTCTTGTTCAACATTTCCAACTCGTGCTTCAAATTATGACGCATGTCATAATTAGATTAGATTAAGACAGACTTTTTTTTACAACAAAAACAAAAACACAAATTGGCTCTTTTGATCTAAAGCTGGTCAATCAAACATATCTGGCTGTCAATAGACCAGATAACATTTGTATGAGCAAGGCCTGACTTTTCTGGTCACAACAGCGAAACTGTTAACAGTATATTCACAGTATATTAACGTGTGGCTGACGGTTCTATCTGCTGATTGGTTGCTTAGGTCAATGCTCCAAACTTCAAGCAGGCCAATTTCTACGTACATGACTATTTCTTTGTTTACATGTCTTTATCAACCTTACTTATTTGATGCATTATATTCTTCAGTGCATATTATGAGTATGTGATTTGTCGTATGTGTAGTTCCCTATACAGTATGTGTAGCTGTGATGGAAATCTGTCGTTACCTGTACAGTTGAGGAGGATCTGTGTTTCCGTGTGGTAGTGGTGGACATCATAGTGGTAGTCTCAATGAAGGTAGTGGACATCTCTGGAGGCATGGCCGTGGTCCTGGCTGAGCCTGCCACACTGGGCACATCACCTACCAACCTCACACTGCCATTAATCTTGATGTTAGGGTTGCCCTCAGCAGCCATGTTCAACACCTTGAGCCCATTGTAATAAAGGCCAGACAGTTGACCCTGAAAGGGCCGGCCGCGATCACTACCACCGATTGCGACTGTCGCTTGGGTGTTGAAAATTGTTAGCTGCCGTCCTAGAGGAGACATCCAGATGTAAGATATTTTCAAGAGAGGAAAGAATCTTTTAATATAGCTTTTTAGCTGCACTATATATTTTCAACAAGACAAAGGGCGTTATTTTTGTGGTGGTGCAACGACCAGCACAAGCAGTGCTTCAACACTTTGGTATGACCTTGAAATTTGTTTTGTTCATTCAGATGAGGCAGTGCTAGATATGCAGCTAGGAAGATAAAAGTCTCTTTCTGATGTACGTATATTTGGTGATTTTATCAACAAGAGCAAGCTAAATACTTCACCCCATAGAAATATTTACACCTAGTAGATGTATTTAAATCTGCATTTAAAAGAAACATATAATGTGGTTAAAGAATTGATCTGTACACAAATATGGGAGATTCTTACAGTATCCTAAAACATTTTGTTATGTGTTCAGTGATGATATCATTTGACCATTTACAGCGTGAGATAGTCAAATTTATGATTTTTTTCTTGACTTTTATTACTCACTTAAATTGTCTTTGTACTAATTTACACACACTAATTGAGATATGATTTTCTGGAAGTGTCTCTCCATTTGTTGAATCAATCTTATCACAGGCTTTGTACCTAAGACCCACCATGTTGCGCTGGTCGTTGCTTTTGCACCATTAAAATAGGACCCTCTACAGCCATGCCGGCAGCTACATGAATATGCTAACATTTCATAATTTCAAGATTTCTTCTCATCTCATTAGTCCTTAATTCATATTATATTTTAATTATTTTACAATTTATTGTTTAATTTCTTTACAGTTATTTAGTTCTTTAGTTAGTTATGTATTTATCATGTTTAGCCCACATGAAGTGACATATAAAGTTGCATGCATGGGTTCACATTCATGTTCATGCCAGTTGCCAAGTTTAATGGTCATTTGTTAGAAATGGAAAGCAGCACTCAGAGAACTTCAAAGGCAAGCTTGAATATGTTATGGCCTGCATTAATGTGGCATCTCCAAGGTTGAAGTATCACAGAAAAAAAAATCTAAAATCACACAGTTCATTTTAGCCTTGAGCAGACATTTAATCTTCTCATCATAGAAGTGCAGAGGAGGTTTTTCACATTGTATCAGTGAACACACATAAGCATAGAAAAATGTTTGTTTGAAATTACCTTTCTCTTGTAGCCACTCTTCTACTGGTCTGGCGTATTTGAAAGGAATTTTCTTATTGGCCATTTGATAGCGTTCAATGTCGCTGTTCCCTTTAAAGTTTAAGAAGACATTTATGAAGACATTTATTGATCATCAGCATCATGGCACCTGCAGCAAATACCACTTTCCCTCTAACATTTACAATATGTTTAAATGATTTTAGCTGAAGATTACAATTTTATTAAACTTGTTTTAGTTGCAGCAGAACTCAGGCTCATTATTTTTGGTTTTTATACAACAAAAGAAATGTTTTTTGTGGGGTTTTTTTACCAAGTGAATGCATAATGGAAGATGCTTTGGTTGTATTTTACCCCTAGGTAGTGAACTTGGTGACTACACATTATACAACACATCCTCATACCTAAACAACAAACTACTGTCAGTGGCTCCAAAATGACAAATGACCAGGGGCTAGTCCAAACTTTTTCTTTTTTTTTTTTTTTGGGGGGGGCTGGCACAAGAGGGGCATTGACTTATGCAGGGGTGGCATAAAGTATGTGTTTTAGCTTTCCAGTCATTCCCAATGTATGCAATTCCAATACTGTATATGGACCAATACTGTACACCGAAATATACTAATACACTCACAAAAACATCATGGGATTAGGTTAAAGTGGGCATACATTTCCAAAGGGGAAGCTCATGGGTACCCATAGAACCCATTTTCATTCAGATATCTTGAGGTCAGAGGGATCTTTTTAAAAATGGCCATCCCAGTTTTTCCATTGCCAACATTTTGCCTCATTTCGGAGCGTTATGTAGCCTCCTTCCTGACATGCTAGCATGACATGGTTGTACACTAGTATCTTCACTCTAGCTTTAAAATGGAGCCCAGCACAGCCCCTGAAAGACGTGCGTAGTGAAATATGTAAGGATTATGGGATGGCACTTGGGGTGGCCACCCCAGGCCCCCCCTCTGGAAACGCCCCTGCTGGCAATAGGCTGCATGCCAGACCAGTAGTACATTTCGTAAGTCATGTGGCGTTAAACACATGGTTAACGTTGTAAACACATGGTTAACGTTGTAAACGTAGTTTAGTTAGGTTTAGAAAAACATCATGGATTGAGTTAAAATAGGTATGTTATCTTACACACACCCTACGTTAAAACATGTGATTAACTTTGTGAAACATACAGTTTGTTTAGGTGTAGGAAACAAAACTACTTATAAATAATAATTACGACTTATGTAAGTCACTAATGTAAAATTATGCAACTTAAAATTTTAAATAAGTCGTTGCTGACTTTTGGTTTCACATGGGACACAACGGCCTCCTGGGTGAAAGTTCTGTGTTTTACCCATCCATCATTCCATATATAGACTATCTTGCTCTTTATACTACTACCACCATCATAATTACTACAGCCACTAAAGGTCGGCACTTAACTATAACCGTAAATATGGATTGAAATAAACTGCTTGCACAATCGACCTACACAGCCTTTTTTCTGGTGAGGATGGGCTGATGTGACATCACATGCGCACACTCTGTTAATGGAGGAACCTTGTTTACTGTAAACGGTGGTAAACAGTGTCTTCATTGAATCATGGTGAAATTAAATCTGTCAAAACCAGCTCAATGGATCTGCTTCTTTTTCTTTTTGTAATTGATGTATATTTTAGTAAAAACAGAAGAAAAAAAAAAAGGATGAGCCCTGAACATAACTGAAAGCAAAAACGTCTCTGGCCCTCTGTTTTAATATGACAGAGGAATAACAGGACTTGGCACCACACAGTACACTACACATACATAAGGGTAGAGCTAAACATAATTTACAGTTCACTGGGCAGCATGTTTGTTTATGGAACTAAACTACAAAACTCCACAAAGGTATTAATAGGGATCTCAAATATAGCTAAAGAGTAAAATCTGCCAGTGAGGATTCAGAGCTTACACAAAATAGTGCAATGGTATGCCATGACTCGGTTCTACACTACAGGTAGTTTGTCACTGGGTCGAGTAAGAGCTTCACCTTAAAGTTACGATTTGGGAACACATTTTTCACCATTGCAAACTAGCCAACAAAAAGGTTTGCGTCATATCAACTTTAAAGTGATATTCATTTGGTTGCAATCTACCATGTCACCACTAGATGCCACTAAATCCTACACACTGGTCCTTTAAGGCAGACTCAATTACAGAGATTAGACTGTATTAGATAAGGCTAATGCTGTAACAGGCTGAAAGAGTTACAAAGAAAAGACCCAAACACTGTCCTCAATGAAATACAACAAAACAGAACCCATAGAATTCAAGCATTTTACTTGCGCTCTCTGGGTGAATGCCATGCCAATAAACAGACCAGTTCATAGTAAAAAGAAAAATCCTGGTGCATGAACTAGACAAGAGAACAGAGCTTATGAGGATACAGCTACATATAACTGATCAAACCTAATAACAGTCAAAGAGAAAGCTGCATCACACATATCTTTTAAGAGCGCACCAAGAAACAGACCCCATGATGTGGACATCCCTCTGGCACAGTGCGCCACAAACTCTGAAGTCAGATCTGTACCTGTGTGCTCATAAGTGAGTAACATGTCCTCTATCCAGTGGGCCAAACACAGTCCTGCGTAATGTGGTTCCCCTACATAAGACAACAAGCCTGCTTGAGGAGCACCTGGACATGGTGCAGTCCATGTAGCACCTGAGACACAACTTGTAAAACCTCTCATCCTCCATAGAAAGCTGTGGAGGGACCAGAGGTCTGGAAAAATTCCTTGCCAGAAACTTGGGCTGAATGACTGCTTTTGGTAGTAGGTGGACCTGTCCCCCAAACGAGACACATGCATCCACATATACTACTCAGCTCACCCACTCACTGACGCAACAGCCGGAGAAACTGCAGGCCAAGACAGGACAGGAGCTCAAAAGGGGAAGAGCCCTGAGAACAACTTGAGGATCCCAGGTAAAACACAGAGACTGAGGTAGAAGCTGCAAAAGTACTGAGAGCTGATCACAGAGAGATTTTTAGATACAGAGCTTTCTCTCTAGTCTAGGTAAAAGTCCCTATACAATTAACACATTTCCTAATTGAACACTTGATGTTCATTTTTCTTCTTCTTCTGTACATAGACTTCTTTCTTCTGCCAAAGAATACAGAGGTATTTTCAGTAGCCAAGAAAGTTTGGTTTTGCTAACTCAGGAAACTGACAGGTTGGAGACAATGTCAAAAACCCTTCAGTCACTGCTCAAAGACTTCAAATGACTACATTTTAACACACTGGCACTGTCACTGCACTGCAGGATCACCATCACGGTTCAAGGACATACTCTGTTCTCTCCCCCTCTCCTCTATGTACTGACACTTGCTGTGACAATGTGACGAAAATATGACTTTATGAAACGATCCACAGCGTTTTCATTTAATCGCATGGGATTAGATGGCAAAGTCTCAGTGAGCGGCTTATCTGTCTCCCTCTCCCTCTCACCTCCAAACATGCACACACAGCACTGAGCAGCAACTCCACAAAGGTTTTATATGGCTTCAAGATTGTGTCTGATAGTGGTAATTGTATTTGTCCTGTTGGGGTATATACAATAGGGTGTCGCAGTCAATCTCCGCTCACTATCTGCGGTCTATATGCCCAAGTGGAATGTTACTCACACTCTTCCCTACAGTTTTCTTTTACCATCCTTTGCCCATTTTTAACATAACTTCCATCCATAAGTTCCATTAACAGAAGCTGGGATATCTTGAATTCAGCTCTCCATCAATCCCATCCCAAACTGGCAAGGAACGTCAGGTCCCTTTTGAAAAGTGACAGTCCTCTTATAATTTGCTTTTCAACTCCACTCCTCAAAGCTAGAGGCTGTCTCCATTGTCTGTCTGTGTCATTGAAAAATAAGTAGACCTGCAGCAATGCATCTGGTGGCCACAGCGTGCCTTGGAAAGTGTGAAACAGGGGAGAGTGTGGGTGCTGTTTTGAATGGCAGCAGAGGGAGTCAGTTGTCTTCCAAAACCTAATGCCCCATAGGTCCCACTCTCCACGCCGCCAGCCTCGCCCAGGCCCCAGTCCCTCTCGTCTACTAAAAGACACCCCTTCTTGCGTTCCATTGAGGAAATGACCTGCCGGTCAAACCCGATGACCTGTAGTATCCTTATGTCAAATTATTACTCAAGATTCCTTCATTGGACACAGTCAATGAGCTTGATGTCAGCCAGTTCATCATTATTGAGAGTACACCAACCTCTACTATGTACCCTATTAAACATGAGGTAGCAGTTTAAGATTTTAAGCCAAGACCCCAGTCCATCTCGCCAAGATGGCGACTCAGCTACTCAAAGATGCCCCTCTAGTGCCCAAGCCTTCAAAAGCAGCTGCATCGTCATCTAACAGTAGGATGAGTGGATGGTCCAGAAAACCTTTTTGACTACCTCTGAAACACTGTGGTGGTGGGGCAAGAAACAGTGGAGGTTTTTTTCTGGTTTTCTTCTGTTATTGGACTGTCAGACCGACCTTTGATAATATGGAAAAAGCAATTGGACATGCTGGCTTTGACTTAAGGTAAGATAAGCTAAAATAAGATAAGATAAGATAGTCTTTGTCGATCCCACACTGGGGAAATTCGATCGCTACACCAGCTGCAGATACAACACAACAGATAGGAAAATACACATTAAATAAAAAATAGAATAGAAAAATACAATGTGGATATGGAAACCTTGTCAGTGAAACACGCAGAGCTTACATCACCACTGTCCTCACTCTTTTTACTCCCCAAATCTTATACTCTACCGACAGATATACTCAATCATGTGCTAAATACTTGAGTAAGTATGTGCTTGTGCTTCATTTAAGTAAACTGTTTAGAAGCTTAAACGCACTAGTTGGTAAAGCAGACACTGCCCAGTGACCTTCTCAACTCTCTCATAATGGCGTGATCCCATTGCCTTATCATATCTTGTAGTAGTAGGTTTTTACTTTCAACTGTCAGTTTTGCGAACAGTTATGATTGCCAACAGCAGAAATGTAAAAAAAAATGTTGGTTTGATTGATTAATTAGCGCTGTACCTGTTGGGAAGTGTTCATTGATCGACCAGTTGTCCACCTGCAGCGTAGCGTTGCCACCATTCCTGGTGAAGCGGACAACATGATACTTCCCATCATTCACTGGGGTACTGCTCTCCTGCACACTGATATCCACTGTGCCAATGTTGAATGTCACCCCGATTTTGCCTTGTTGCTGAAATGAGAAAACACAATTATTCACTCAGTTATTCATTGTAAACGCTGAAACATTGGATGCTTGCATCTCCTCGTTGTTTTGAACAGAAATAAAGGATTTGGACAAGAATCATTTCCAGGTAGTGGAATTAAGAAACACCCCTTTGACCCTATGACTTGAATCTCTATCAGCTGATAAACAGCAGCAGATAGTAGGGATGCTGTAGGAAAACCAAAATAAACCACTGTCTACAAAGCCTCTGCAACTAAAGGCCTGCAAATTTAATAGGATGAAACATATAAAAAAATATATACATACATACATAGACTATTCAGACATCTCAATTTTTTAATTAAAGCTGCTGTGGGAACTGTGCAAACGGCCAACTGAACAGGACCGCTTCATATAGCCTTGGGTCAACTGATGCCATTTCCACATACCAGGCAACCAAACAGCAGAGGTACAGCAAACAGAAAAAAGAAAAGAAAACAGAAAAGTAAAGGTGCAGAATGTGTGTGAGAACTTACTATGTGCAGCATGAGATAGTCACCCAGACCAGGTGCGCTGTCAATCCTGACCAGGATGCCATCTTTCAGGGAGGTGCTGAAGCCGACGGTCAGCCTGTCGGTCCTGGTGCTTGGCCTCTCATTGGCTGGCCACTTGAATGTGATGAGGCCTCCTCCTTTGCCAAAGATGTACGTGGTCCCAGCTAAACAGAGCAGGAAGAGGAAGTATGAATAATAAGCTCAACTCAAAACTAAAACAAAGACCACATCCTAACTCTAAATATTTACCTAGAAATGTACCTTATATGCATACATAATGTCAGTTGAAAATGTCATGTACTGGTAAGGCTGTAACAGGTACAGTCAGCTCTACAATCCAAGTATTTGTTATCTTGGCTCCACCATAATGGATTTGAAATAAAAGGGTATTGATAGCAATATTGGGTGCAGGTACCACATACTCATTGTAAGCCTTCTCCAAGTCCCCAAACAACCCACCACTGACTACGTTTTGTAGTTAAAATTAATACATTTCAGACTTCATAATCAATAAAGATAATATGAAGTTGGCCGGATAGGTTACTGACTTTACCATTTGGACCTCACCCAGCCCCGTTGGTAGTACTGTTGGCCTTACCGTAGTACTGGCTTTGCGTCTACAGGAAAACACTTAAAACTGACATGCTGTATGGCATTTTTTAAACTATTTATTATTATAAAGTTGCAAAAAGCAACTCACACAGTTTAGTGAGATTTAGATTTTAGCCTCCACATGTTGGCTATCTTGCCATATGCTGCTCCATATGGCTGCTGCTATGCCAGGAGGCACTGATGAATGTATGTTTATGTTTGTGTGCCTGGGGAAGTGACAGTGTGTGTGAGGGTGTATGTGACTGCTCGCTATTATACTGTACCTCCCAGGATTTTACCAGAAGCCCACACAAACAATTCTCTCACACACAAACGTCCGCACCCACAAAAACACTATCTGACACACATACAGGCTAGCTAATGCTAATGAGCAAGCCCAGGCAGATGAGGCTCTTTGCTGAGGCAGATAACGCCAGGCGGGCATAATGGCGCTTTGTTGCCCAAGCCCAGAACCCCCACTCTTGCCTCCCTAGCCAAGCCGCTTTAGTCTGTACAAATTAGTGCCCTTATGAAAACAATTGCCTCCCCCTTATGCCTGCTGAAAAACTGTTAATTCATCTAATACAATGTGCCAATACCGCGTGGGTGTACCAATTTCAGCTGCATGCCCCAAAACTCACTCCCCCTACTGTTCTCTGTGGCCGCCCACCTGAAAAAGCAGAAAGAGAAATATGGAAATCAGCCGATGCCTTTGCCCCTAAGGATGGGGACCACAATGCAGCAGTGTGTGTTGTGACTGTATTGTATTGCAGTTGGGGTCACACGTTGTGAATGTTGTGGGTCTGATGCTCAACAGAGTGAGGTGGCAGGCTGGTGGTATAGCTTACACTGCAAGTACATGTTACGTTTTGCAAAGAGAGACAATGGGAGTGTGTAAGGATCCAAAACCACAATGAGCTGAAGGAGAGGTTAATGATACTTGGTATGTTTTTACAATAGATTCTACAGTTTACAAAGATATGCAGAATTGCATAGAGACAGAATGTGCAAATGGATAGACGCTACAACACACACGTCTGCCTCTCAGGGCTGTCACTTTTTATTCAAAATACCTATTGGAATTCAACATTTACAGTCTATAGGCACAGTTTGAAGTAGTTTGCCTTGTGATCCAGCAGAGGGCGCTCCACTATCAGCTTGACCTATTGACCTGTCAGGAAACTAAGCTCGTAATGTGTTGAAGCTCTGCTCCACAGGCCCACCAGCTGTTTTTGAGAAGCAATGTGCTTCTGTCAACTTTGTACAAAGCAGCTGTCTAACTCTACAGCGACAACGAATCTGCTGACTCACTTGCTAACGTTAGCAAGTGAGTCAGCAGATTACCCCAAGTTATAGTGTACAACCAAATTTTTAAAAATGCCTGTAGATTTATACGCAAGGATATGCAGCCCACTGGTGTGGTACGAGTAAATGTCCGAATAATATTTACATCCCATGTTCTCCTGTGTGGTGCCATCAGTTGTGTGTTATGATTTTTTTGTTTTATTAATTGCGTGTCATTTCAAATTAGTTTGAACTCTTTATCTTTCTTTATCGATATACATCTGTGCGTGTGCTTATGACCACCACCTGTAGGATCGATACCGCCAACCCTGCAGAGTGCCCCACCAAATCAGATAACATCATATCCCATATAAGAACACCTTCCATGATGGTGATATTGATCTAATTTAACAGTATCCTTACAGCTACTGTGCCTCCAGAACATACTTGGCTATTTGACTACATGAATTGTACATCAAGTTACAACACCATCTGACCCAATTCATATTCATTTAAGCTATTTGTAATCTAGGAGAGCTTGGCAAAAATATTAGGCTGTGTGGCAGTAAAGTTAAGAAACTTTCCTAATACCTTTGTCTGTGCTCACTCCTTCTAAAGGTCAATATAGTGATCACACAGCTGTCATTAACCTGTATGTATCCTGATTTTGTCTGATGAACGCAGTTATATAACAAGTATTTCCGGTCTAGGCTTTGTAGAATACCTTTGGTATTTATATATTATATATATATATAATTATAATTATAATATATAAATATATACATTTAATATGCTTAATAAAAACAGGGCTTTTTACATCCAGTTACAAGTAATGAATCGAAGCATTTGTTTGTGTTATATATGATGGCTTTCTGTGTGTTTCTGTACTTCACTGCTCCGGGATCACCGCAACTCCTCTTTACAGCTTCAGACTTTTTAACTCAGCAACAACATAATGTAGCATTGTTTCCCCACACACACACACACACACACACACACACACACACACACACACACACACACACACACACACACACACACACAATTCCTTAAATGCATATTATTCATATTAGACTTGTACTGTAGCTTCTGTAGTGAGTAAATTTCCCCAGTGTGGGATCAATAAAGTCTATCTATCTATCTATCTATCTATCTATCTATCTAGTGACTACTAACATTTCAGCAAAAGTTACAGTAACTATAGGCAGTGTAGTGCATGAGAGATTGAGAGATCAAACTAACAAATGAAAAAAATAAGCCTTAATGGAAGTGGGGCGGAGCAGCTCTTGTGAGAGTTTTTTCTGTAGTTAAGTTGACTGAATACATTTAACATTACAACTGATGACATTCTCTGTGGGAACTGTTGCCTGTTTAATGGCTTAACCACATGCACCATTGTACTTTGTCCATCAGGTGGCACTGGTGTACATTTTCTATATTTGTCTTAGTTTAATTTGACTGTTTTTTGAGAGAGGAATAGAGTTTGTTTTGTTATCTTTCCAAGTTTAAAACCTCTCTGCCAAAAATGAATTCTAACAGAGAACACACTGTACAATCCCTGGCTAAACCAAAGCAATGTCAGAGTTATGTGGTATTGTTGTGTTGCTTCATATATTAGAAAAGTGCACACAGTGCTGCTTTGCATTGATGAGGGTCCAGATGGAGACATTAGAGAGAGGTGTGTGTGTGTGTGTGTGTGTGTGTCTTCCTGCAGAGACTGGAATAAATGGTGGTTAAAAACATAACCAAAGTAACCCCCTTGCACACGTGCATATGGCATTTTGGTATTTTTATGACTTTCTCACTCCCATATATACAGTATCTCACAAAAGTGAGTACACCCCTCACAATCTGCAAATATTTCATTATATCTTTTCATGGGACAACACTGAAGAAATGACACTTTGATACAATGTAAAGTAGTCAGTGTACAGCTTGTATAACAGTGTAAATTTACTGTCCCCTCAAAATAACTCACACAGCCATTAATGTCTAAACCGCTGGCAACAAAAGTGAGTACACCCCTAGATGAAAATGTCCAAATTGGGCCCAAAGTGTCAATATTTTGTGTGGCCGCCATTATTTTCCAGCACTGCCTTAACCCTCTTGGGCATGAAGTTCACCAGAGCTTCACAGGTTGCCACTGGAATCCTCTTCCACTCCTCCATGACAACATCACGGAGCTGGTGGATATTAGAGACCTTGCGCTCCTCCACCTTCCGTTTGAGGATGCCCCACGGATGCTCAATAGGGTTTAGGTCTGGAGACATGCTTGGCCAGTCTATCACCTTTACCCTCAGCTTCTTTAGCAAGGCAGTGGTCGTCTTGGAGGTGTGTTTGGGGTCGTTATCATGTTGGAATACTGCCCTGCGGTCCAGTTTCCGGAGGGAGGGGATCATGCTCTGCTTGAGTATGTCACAGTACATGTTGGCATTCATGGTTCCCTCATTGAACTGTAGCTCCCCAGTGCCGGCAGCACTCATGCAGCCCCAGACCATGACACTCCCACCACCATGCTTGACTGTAGGTAAGACACACTTGTCTTTGTACTCCTCACCTGGTTGGCGCCACACACGCTTGACACCATCTGAATCAAATAAGTTTATCTTGGTCTCATCAGACTAAGGACATGGTTCCAGTAATCCATGTCCTTAGTCTGCTTGTCTTCAGCAAACTGTTTGCGGGCTTTCTTGTGCATCATCTTTAGAAGAGACTTCCTTCTGGGATGACGGCCATGTAGACCAATTTGATGCAGTGTGTGGCGTATTGTCTGAGCACTGACAGGCTGACCCCCCACCCCTTCAACCTCTGCAGCAATGCTGGCAGCACTCATATGTCTATTTTCCAAGGCCAACCTCTGGATATGACGCTGAACACGTGCACTCAACTTCTTTGGTCGACCATGGCGAGGGATGTTCTGAGTGGAACCTGCCCTCTTAAACCGCTGTATGGTCTTGGCCACCGTGCTGCAGAGTTTCAGGGTGTTGGCAATCTTCCTTTAGCCTAGGCCATGTTTATGTAGAGCAAAAATTATTTTTTTCAGATCTTCAGAGAGTCCTTTGCCATGAGGTGTCATGTTGAACTTCCAGTGACCAGAGAGAGTGTGAGAGCGACAACACCAAATTTAACACACCTGCTCCCAATTCACACCTGAGACCTTGTAACAATAAGAGTCACATGACACCGGGGAGGGAGAATGGCTAATTGGGCCCAATTTGGACATTTTCACTTAGGGGTGTACTCACTTTTGTTGCCAGCAGTTTAGACATTAATGGCTGTGTGTTGAATT